CGGCGATGGAGTCCGCAGCAAAAAGAGGGAGTTCCGCAGAAAAAGAGGGAGTCCCGCAGCAAAAAAAGAGGAGTCCGCAGCAAAAAGATGGGAGTGCCGCAGCAAAATGAGGGAGTCCCGCAGTCTGAAGTCAAGCTAAAGATATTAACAATAACGACATCGTGCTATTTCGAAGATTCATGCGGATCGCATGTCTGCCAAATTTCTTGGACATGTTGCTGAAAAAATACGGCAATTCCGCGAGGCCGTGATCTGAAATGTACGTAAGTTAGTATAGCAGAATCTTTCAGGGAGTCACACGACTCCGTGCTTATGTTAAATCAGGGAGCTCCGACAGGTAAATGAGCGAAGTATTATGACTCTGGACTTTGCGGTTAATTTGTCGTCACCCCTCACTGCCAGCCCGATTCAGCGAAAAGAAGGAAGGTGACAGTAGGATATAATGATGTCCCGATTATTGATTATAATCAAAAGCGCTCGATTGTGAAAATAAATAATCAATTATCCAAAAAAAAAAATGTAATTATTAAAAATGTTTTTTCAATAAAATGTGCAAACATTGACTCTTTATTTCATTGTTGTGTTTTTTCGGTTACTTTACAGCTTAAATCTAACCTACACCAAACATAAGCAAGTATAATACTGTTACATAGCTTTTAGAATATTGTATTATAAAAACTACTGTATTATATGATATATGATGTATTTCAATATCTGGTGGAACCAATCAATAACATTCAACCGATTATCTTCGATCATTGATCGGTTGGGTGCAACCAATGATCGATGATGAAATTCCAAACGATTCCCATCACTAGTAGGACGGTGAGCGATTCAACACACAGATGACAGCAGCGTATTAACGATCATCTAGTGATTAATCTGTGGGTTTCGATCTCCATCCCCAGCATCGAACAAGTGCACAGGCACTTGGAACGTACTCTCAATAAAGACAAATAATGCTAAAGAAACACGAAATGTATTTGCTACCAAAGTCTTAATGTTTCTCTACTCTCTTTCGCCTATTATTGCCGATAACTTCCTGTAAATGCCGTTCAAATGCTCCTCTGCAACACACGCGTACACCGCACGCACGCCGCTCGTTCCCCATCCCGCCACCAGGGGGCGCTTACTTGAGGTGTCGATTCAGCTCCTCAATGTAGTTCTTCTGGTCGAGCACGGCAGTCATGCTCGCCGGATCCGCCACCGCGGCGGCGCCACCTGGTGTCTGATCTCCGGCCTCGCACAGCGCGCCCCCCGCCTTCAGGGGCCCCTGCTGCACAATGCTGTCCTTCAGATAGAGGCTGAAGTCGATGACTCCAAGCTGTAACAACGAAGACAGAACGCACGCTCTCTGAGTATGTTTCGTCGGAGCGACGTGGGAGCTTCGCCGGCTGTCGCAAAGTCTAGTACGGCGCGATGGCAATTAATTCTCGACATTTTTTTCGTTTTTTTTTCTTCTAAAACGAAATATTTTTTCTCCAGATTTTTTTCCGGCCTGAAAAATTTTCGATGAGAAAAATTAACGATTCTCGAATAAGCTGATACACCTTGTTAACAAGCAGCGCTGAGTTACACGTCAAGGATGGGGAGCGAGAGAGGAGGAGGGGGAAGGGGAGGGAGGAGGAAATGGAGGGAAGGGGAAAGGGGTAAGGAAAGCGGAGGGTACGGAAAGGAGGAGGGGTAAAGGAAGGGAGGGGGAAAGGGGTGAGCAAAAGAAGAGCGGGTAAGGAAGCGGAGGGGAAAGGGAGCAAAAGAAGAGGGGAAAAGGAACGGGGAGGGAAAAGTGAGAGGAAGAGCGAAGGCGAGGGAGGGGGAAGGGAAGGGAAGGGAGAGGGGAGAAGGGGAAGGGAAGGGAAGGGAGAGGGGGAGAAGGGGAGAAGGTTACCTGGTAGTCGAGGTCCTCCTCCTTGAGGCAGAAGTTGCAGTCGATGATGTTGAGGCCGACGAGGAGACCGGAGAAGATCATGCCCTCGTCGCACGTCACCCTATCCTTCCCATCGAACGCCGTCGCATCGTTCAGTAGTCACTGAAACACACAATGTTCCACACGCCGTCACGCACGCGTCACGAGGAGGGGAGGAGGAGGAGAGAGGAGGAGGTAGGAGAAGGGAGGAGGAGGAGGTGGAGGAGGAGGCTGGAGAGGAGGGGGAGGGAGGAGGAGGAGGAGGAGGAGGAGAGGAGGAGGAGGAGGAAGGGGGAGGAGGAGGAGGAGGCGAGGAGGGGGAGGAGGAGGCAGGAAGGAGGAGGGCGGAGGAGCGAGCGAGGAGGAGGAGGAGGAGGAGGAGGTGAGGAGGAGGAGGAGGAGGAGGTGGCAGGAGGAGAGAGGAGGAGGAGGAGGAGGAGGAGGAGGAGCCGGGAGGAGGAGGAGATGCAGGAGGAGGAGGAGGAGGGAGGAGGGTGAGGAGGAGGAGAGAGGAGCGAGGAGCGAGGTGGCAGGACGGAGGAGCGGTAGGAGGAGCGCGTCGCAGGAGGAGGAGGAGCGAGCGAGGAGGAGGCAGTAGGAGGAGGCAGGAGGTATCGTGAGGAGGAGGAGGAGGCAGGTAGAGGAGGAGAGACAGGACCGCCACACGAGCATCCATGCGCCTCGTCGGCAACACCCTCGCCCTCCCATCGACGTCGTTGCACGCATCGTCAGTAGCTCACCTGACAACATGCACACATTCGTTCCCACACCTCGCTCACCCGCATCTGCATCACCGAGGACGCGAGTCATGCAGCTCTCCCAGGGAGTGAAGTCATGAGCCGAGGCTCCAGCTCGAGGAGGAGGAGGAGGAGCCGCCCGAGCCCGGGGAGGGAGTTGGCGAGGAGGAGGAGCCTTCGCAGCCGAGGAGGAGGAGCGATGGTTGACGTCGATAGGGCGCGGAGGCAGGAGCGAGGCGCGAGGATCGAGGAGAGAAAGGGGGAGCGATTGGACGCGCACGGACGGGGAGGACGGAGCGAGGAGGTAGATCAGCCCTCTGTCGCAACACATGAACGCGCGTTCAGCATCGTACGTCAGTCCACCTGAGGACTATACGCAATGTTCAACACCGTCACCGCACGCGTCACCGATCGAGGAAGGAGGAGGAGGAGGAGGAGGAGCCGGGGGAGGAGGTGGAGGAGGAGGAGGAGAGGAGGAGAGTGGAGGGGAGGAGAGGAGGAAGCGACTCCCGACAGGAGGATCATGCCCTCAATCGCAACACATGAACGCCGCCGCCCCGTCCCGTATGGGCCTCCGTCCGTAGTAAGTCACTGAACACACACCAATGGTCTCACACCGTCAGCCGCACGCGTCACCGAAGGAGCAGGCGAGGAGGACCGGAGGAGGAGGGGGACGCGAGCGTGGAGGAGCGCATGGCAGAGGACCGACGTCCCACCCCTCGTCCCTATTCGCCCCGAACGTCCGCAGCGGCAGCGCTTTACGGGCAGCGCCGCTTACGGGGTGCTTGCGCTTACGGTACCGCCGCCCAAGGGCCGCCACGCCCGCGCAGTCCGCGTTAGGGTAGTTTACGGAGGAGCGAGGAGCGAGGGAGCGGAAAGTCGAGCGATGAGGAGGGGAGGAGAGGAGGAGGAGGGGAGGAGGAGGCAGGAGGAGGGGAGGAGGAGGCGAGAAGGCAGGAGGCAGGAGGAGGACGGGTAGGAGAGGGCCACCACAGGGAGCCCGCACGGGTCCGCGCCTGTGGAGCTCGAGCGAGCGAGTGACCGGGAGTGAGGCGGGGAGGATGGAGGCTCGAGGAGGGAGGCAGGAATCATGCCCTCGTCGCAAACACATGCAACGCCGATCGCATCGTCCAGTAGTCTCACTGAAACACGCATGTTCCACACCGGGTCACCCGCACGCCTCAACCGAGGAGGAGCGTGGAGGAGGAGGAGGGAGGAGGAGGAGGAGAGGAGGAGCGCACGCGCAGTGGAGGAGGAGCGAGGGGGGCGCGCGCCGAGCAAACGCACGCGAGCACGAGGAACCGCTGCCGCCGAGGAGGGAGGGACGCGAGGCCGGAGGAGAGGCTGGAGAAGAGGAAGGTGCCCCGAGGACGGCGCGCGCCAGGAGGAGGAGGAGGGAGGGCGGAGGAGAGAGGAGGCACGCTGAGGGGCGCAGGCACGCGAGGCACGCCGCGCCTGCCGCACGCGAGATCATCGCCCTGCCCGCGTCCGCACAACCCCATGAAACGCGCGGGAGTCGAGACCTTCGGTTCCGGCCGTAGTAGTCACTGAAAACACGCAATGTTCACACCGTCACCCGCCACGCCCGCCACCCGAAGGAGGAGGACAGGCCACGGGGGAGGAGGAGGACTGCCTGGACGCGCAGCCGCAGGAGGAGGAGGCACGCGACGGGGGAGGAGGAGGCACGCGGAGGAGGAGGAGGAGGAGGAGGAGGAGCGAGGCGGGACGCGGGGAGGGCTGGGAGTACCGCGAGGAGGAGGCGGGAGGCAGGGAGCGCACGCGCAGGCCGAAGCAGCAAAGGAGACGGTGAGGGGCCGCCGGAGGGCGGGCGTGGCCGCAGCAGCCCAGGAGGAGCGGGAGTGACGACCCCGCTCCCACTCGCTCTCGTCGTCAACCAGCTCCCCCCGACGACCACCGCCCTCCGTCCGCCATCCGTGAGTAGTCCACTGAAACACGCCCAATGTCTTTCACACCTTGCATGTCACCGCGCCCCACGCCCGAATCACGACGCCCGAGCGAGCCCGCCGAGGAGGTTGGTAGCGAGGAGGGAGAGGAGGGGTGGAGGAGGAGGAGAGGAGGCAGGCAGAGGAGGAGGACGGTGGAGGAGGAGGCAGGAGGAGGAGGAGGAGGAGGAGGAGTCGGGACGAGATCATGCCCTCGTCGCCAACACATGAACGCGTTCAGCATCCGTACGTACGTCACTGACAACACGCCAATGTTCACCACGTCACGCACGCGTCACCGAGCAGGAGGAGGAGGAGAGGAGGCACGCCGAGGAGGAGGTGGGAGGAGGATGGAGCGGAGAGGGGAGGAGGAGGAGTGGAGGAGGAGGAGGAGGAGGAGTAGGAGGCGAGGACAGGAGGAGGAGGAGATCATTGCCCTCGTCGCACACCCCATAACGCTTAGTCGCCTGCATCGTAGTAGACTCACTGAAAACACGCAATGTTCAACCACCGGTCACCGCCACGGCCGGCGTCACCGAGGAGGCAGGAGGAGGAGTCGAGCGAGGAGGGGAGGAGGAGGAGGAGGCAGGAGGGGGAGTGAGAGCGCAGGAGGAGGGAGGATCCATTGCCCTCGATCCGCACACCACCATGAAACGCGTCGAGCCCATCGTAGTAGTCACTGAAACACACAATGTTCACACCGTCACCGCATGCGTCACGAGGATGGAGGAGGATGGAGCGAGGAGAATTGAGGAGGAGGAGTGGAGGTGAGGAGAGGAGGAGGAGGAGGAGGAGGAGGAGGAGGAGGAGGCAGGTAGGAGGAGGAGGAGGGGAGGAGGAGGAGGAGTGAGGAGGAGTGAGGAGGAGCGAGGAGCGAGGAGATCATGGCCACTCGTCACAACACGATCCGAACGCGTCAGCATCGTAGTACACTAGTCACTGAAACACACAATGTTCACACCCGTCACCGCACGCGTCACCGAGGAGGAGGAGGCCAGGAGGAGGCAGGAGAGGAGGAGCGAGGTAGGAGAGGAGGAGGAGGAGAGAGGCAGAGGAGGAGGAGGAGCATCATTGCCCTCGTCGCCAAACACCATGAACGCTGTCAGCATCGTAGTAGTCACTGAAACACGCAATGTTCACACCTCACCGCCCACCCGCATCACGAGGAGGAGGAGGAGGAGGAGGAGAGGTAGGAGGAGGAGGAGGTGGAGGACGGAGGAGAGGAGGAGGAGGAGGAGGAGGAGAGAGGAGGAGTAGAGCCATCATGCCCTCGTCGCAACACTCATGAACGGTCAGCATCGTAGTAGTCACGTGAAACACCGCAATCGTTCATCACCATCACCGCACGCGTCACCGAGGAGGTGGAGGAGGAGGAGGAGAGAGGAGGAGGAGGAGGAGGAGCGAGGAGGCAGGAGGAGGAGCGAGAAGGGGAGGGAGGAGGAGGCGAGGAGCGAGGAAGCATCATGCCCTCGTCGCACAACCCACATAACGCGTCCGCATGTTAGTTAGTCACTGAAACACGCAATGGTTCCACCAGTTCACGCACGCCGTCACCGAGGAGGACGGAAGGAGTGAGCGAGACGAGGAGTGAAGGGCAGGAGGAGGAGGGCAGGAGAGGAGGAGGTGCAGAGGAAGGCAGGAAGATCATGCCCTGGCGTCGCCAACACATGAACGCGGTTCAGGTCATCGTCCAATAGTAGTCAACTGGAAACACGCAATGTCTCACACCCCACCCACATGTCACCCGCACGCATCACCGAGCGGAGCGCAGGAGGCAGCGAGGAGGAGGAGGAGGAGGAGCGAGGAGGGAGGCAGGAGCGGGGAGTCGAGGAGGGGGTGCCGCCAGATGCGGAGCAGAGGAGGGGACGGAGCGAGCGAGGAGGGGAGGAGGGAGGAGGAGGATGGAGCAGCGGAGGAGCCCGCAGCCCGAGCAGCAGGAGCGAGCCGACGCCGTAGGCAGGACGGGTGCCCCCACGGACGCGCGGAAGGAGCGCGAGGACGAGCCGATGGAGGAGGAGATAGGAGGAGGTGCCGAGTCCGAAGGAACGGAGACGAGGCACGAGGAGGTAGAGGACGCGCGGAGGAGGAGGGGGAGGAGGGAGGAATGGCAGGAGGAGGCAGGCGGCGCCCCGGAGGAGGAGATGGCGGAGGAGGAAGAGCGCAGCCGAGCGAGGTGGAGGAGCGAGCGGCGAGCGACGAGGGGGAGGAGGAGGGGAGCCAGCGGAGGAGGAGGGAGGTAGGAGGCGAGGAGGTGGAGGAGGCAGGTGGAGGAGGCAGGATGGAGGAGGATGGAGGAGGGGGACGGAGGATGGAGCGAGAGGAGCTGCCGAGGAGGAGGAGAGGCAGGCGCACCCCCATCGCACCACACGAACGCGACGCGGCGAGGGAGGCAAGGAAAGGGGCGAGGAGCTGATGGATGGTGAGCAGTGATGACGGGGCAGCGAGGAGGAGGAGGAGGAGGAAGAGGAGGATGAGGGGACGGTGGACGGAGGCGGACGCGAGGCAGGCGGGAGGACGGCAGGCAGCGAGGAGGAGGCACCGGAGAGCGACGGACGGCGCGAGGACAGGAGCGCAGGAGGGGAGGAAGGTTGCCCGAGGAGGAGGCAGGCGCGAGGGGGCGCAGGGAGCCGAGGGAGCGAGGAGGAGCCGCGTCAGCTCGCGCACGCGCGCACGGAGGAGGTAGGAGGAGGAGCGAGTGAATGGGAGGAGGCAGAGCTGGAGGAGGAGGTGGAGAGAGGAGGAGGTGGGAGGAGGAGAGGAGTGAGGAGGAGGAGGGCGAGGGAGCGATGAGAGCAGAGGAGCGAGACGTTGAGTTAGTTGGCACCGCCGTGCCGAGCGCGAGGGCGGAGGAGGGGGCAGTGATGGATGGAGACAGATCGCGGCGCCTGGCAGGTAGGAGGAGGAGCGAGGAGACAAGCAGGCAGAAGGAGGCCGCAGCAGAAGGTACGCAGGCAGAGGAGGCGCCGCGCCCGGTCGCGAGCCGGGAGGCATGCACGCGAGGAGGAGGGCGGTAGTGAGGAGGCAGAGGAGGAGGAGCGAGGCGGGGAGGTAGGGGGGCCGAGCGAGGAGTCGCTCGCCAGCGAGGCAGGACCGGAAGGAGAGCGAGGAGGAGGAGCCGCAGGAGGAGCGATGGAGAGGCCAGGAGCGACGGAGGAGGAAGAGCCCGCAGGAGAGGAGGAGAAAGAGCGGAGGGAGGCAGGAGGAAGGAGTTGCGAGGAGGAGGAGGAGGAAGAGGAGGAGGAGGAGGAGAGGAGGAGGGATTGTGAGGAGCCAAGGAAGAGGAGGAGGAGTGAGGCAGGAGGAGGAGAAAAGAGGAGGAGGAGGAGAGATTGAGGGAGGAGGAGGAGGAGGAGGAGGAGGAGGAGGAGGAGGAGATCATGCCCTCGTCACAACACATGAACGCCCGTCAGCATCGTAGTAGTCACTGAAAACACGCAATGTTCACACCGTCACCCGCACGCGTCACGAGGAGGAGGCAGGAGAGAGGAGGAGGAGGAGGAGCGAGAGGAGGATAGAGGAGGAGGAGGAGGAGGACGGAGGAGAGGGAGGAGGAAAAAGGGAGAGATCATGCCCTCCTCACAACAACATGAACCGCGTCGAGCATCGCTGTAGAGTCACTGAAACACGCAATGTTCACACCGTCCCGCACGCATCACCAAGGAGCGAGGTAGGAGGAGGAGGAGCGAGCGAGGAGGAGGATGGAGGAGGCAGGAGGAGGAGGGGGAGGAGGAGGAGGAGGAGGAGGAGGTGCAGGAGGAGGAGGAGCAGGAGGAGGAGGAGGAGGAGGAGGAGGAGGAGAGGGAGGAGGAGGAGGAGACTCATGCCCTCGTCGCCAACACCAATGAACGCCGTCCGCATCGTCAGTAGGTCACTGAACGACACAATGTTCACACCGTCACCGCAACGCCCGTCACCGAGCGAGGAGGAGGGGTGAGGGAGGATCGAGGAGGAGGCTAGGAGGAGGGAGGCAGGCAGGAGGAGCGGAGCGAGGAGGAGGAGGAGGAGGAGGAGGAGGAGGAGGAGGAGGAGGAGGAGATCATGCCCTCGTCGCAACACATGAACGCGTCAGCATCGTAGTAGTCACTGAAACACGCAATGTTCACACCGTCACCGCACGCGTCACCGAGGAGCGGAGGAGGAGGAGGAGTCGAGGAGGAGGAGGGGGGAGGGAGCGAGGAGTGAGGAGGAGGAGGAGGAGGAGGTAGAAGAGGGGGAGGAGGAGGAGGAGGAGCGGGGAGGAGGAGGAGGAGGAGGAGGAGGAGGGGGAGGGGGAGGAGGAGGAGGCAGAGGTGGAGGAGGGCGATATGGGAGGAGGAGGAGGAGGAGGAGGAGGGGGAGAGAGGAGGCCAGGAGGACGGAGGAGGTGGAGGAGGAGGAGGAGCTAGGAGGAGGAGGAGGAGAGAGGAGGAGGAGGGAGGAGGAGGAGGAGATCATGCCCGGTCGCGCAATACCCATGAAACGCGTCGCATGTGAGTAGTCACTTGAAACACACAATGTTCACCACCCCCGTCACCGCACGCGGTCACCGAGGAGGGAGGGAGGGGAGGCAGGAGGAGAGGGAGGAGGAGGAGGAGGAGGAGGAGGAGAGGAGGAGCGAGGAGGAGTGAGGAGGGCGGAGGAGGCGGAGGAGGAGGAGGAGGCAGATATGCCCTTCGCTCGGCAAACATGAACGCGTCAGCATCGTAGTAGTCACTGAAACACGCAATGTTCACACCGTCACCGCACGCGTCACCGAGGAGGAGGAGGAGGAGGAGGAGGAGGAGGAGGAGGAGGAGTGAGGGGAGGCAGGAGGAGCTGAGGAGGAGGAGGAGGGGAAGAGGGGGAGGAGGAGGAGCCGAGGAGGGGGAGGAGGAGGACGGGGGAGGAGGTGGAGGAGGAGGGGAGGAGGAGGAGGAGGAGGGAGGAGGAGGAAGAGGGAGGAGGAGGAGGAGGAGGGGGGGAGGAGGGAGCGGGGAGGAGGTTGGGAGGAGGAGAGGGAGGAGGAGGAGGAGGAGGAGGAGGAGGAGGGGGGGAGGAGGAGGAGGGGGAGGAGGGAGGGGGAGGAGGTGGAGGGGGAGGAGGAGGGAGGAGAGGGGAGGAGAGGAGGAGGAGGAGGCGGGAGGAGGACGAGGAAGGGGAGGGGAGGAGGGAGGGCGAGGAGGAGGAGGAGCCGAGGAGGAGGAGGAGGGAAGAGGAGGAGGGGAGAGGAGGAGAGGGGGAGGAGGATTGAGGAGAGGCGCGGAGGAGGAGGTTGATGGGAGGAGGAGGAGGGGAGGAGGAGGAGAGGAGGAGGAGGAGGAGGAGGAGGAGGAGGAGGAGGAGGGAGGAGATATGCCCTCGTCGCAACACATGAACGCGTCAGCATCGCTAGATAAGTCACTGAAACACACAATTGTTCACCACCGTCACCGCACGCATCACGCGAGGAGGAGGGGAGGAGGAGGAGAAGGCAGGGGAGGAGAAAGGAGGCAGGAGAGGAGGAGGAGGCAGTGAGGGGAGGAGGAGAGAGCCGCGCAAAGAGCGAGGAGGAGGAGGAGATCATGCCCTCGTCGCAACACATGAACGCGTCAGCATCGTAGTAGTCACTGAAACACGCAATGTTCACACCGTCACCGCACGCATCACCGAGGAGGAGGAGGAGGAGGAGGAGGAGGAGGAGGACCAGGGAGCAGGAGGAGAAGGACGGAGATCATGCCCTTTCGTCGCAACACACTGAACGCGGCTCCCGCATCGTCACAGTTAGTCACTGCATGAACACGCAATGTTTCAACCCCCTGTCCTCAGCGCACGCCATCACGAGGAGGACGCAGGAGGAGGAGGAGGCAGAGGAGGAGGAGCAAGGCAGCGACGGCAGGAGGAGGGGGAGGAGGAGGCAGGAAGCAGGAGGGGCGCAGGAGGAGGAGGAGGAGGAGGACTGCGAGCGAGGATGCGATGGAGGAGGAGCGGACGGAGGAGGACGCGTATGAGGAGAGGAGGAGGAGGAGGAGGAGGAGGTAGGAGGAGGCAGGAGATCTTGCCCTCGTCACAACTATATGAACGCGTCAGGCATAGATAAGTAGTCACTAGAAACACGCAATGTTCAGCACTTAACGGCCACCGCGTCACCGCAGCGAGGAGGGTAGAGGAGGAGGGGGAGGAGGAGGCAGGAGGAGCGCACCGAGCGCGAGGAGCGAGCCGAGTTTGAGGGGCTAGGAGGCAGGAGGAACAGAGGAGGGGGGAGGAGGACGGAGCGGAGCGACGGAGGAGCGAGGAGGACTCGGAGGAGGAGCGCAGAGGGAGGAGGAGGACCTGAGGAGGAGCGAGGAGGAGGAGGAGGAGGAAGCAGGAGGACAGGGGAAGCCGAGGAGGAGATCATGCCCTCGGTCGACAACACAAGTGAACGCGTCC